AGCCCCATTTTAGGTATTCCAATCAGTTATAGGCAGAAGACAGACTTACAAGTTTTCTATGGTGATGCTTTTCACTATTCCTTTCTCTCCCCCTCCAGTGTCTATTTTATATTATAATGCAAGGAAAAACAAGATTCAAAAGACAGCCAGGCATCTTAACATTATTCCCCCCTTTTACCTTTCCCAACCTTGTCTCAATCCCTGTATCCCAGAGCCCTGTTGTTCTAAGCATGTGCATGCATCATTATTTACCTCTGTCCCACTTAGCCAGTGCAAACCTGCCTAATTGTTCTCCCCTCCACCTTGTTCTTCCATTACATTTCCCATTCGTGTGTACTGACCCCCCTTCCTAGTACCCAAACTATACAGTCTCTATATCCTACCCTGTGCTCCACCTTCCCCTCCCTCCCCTCACCCCACACCCCACATCCCAATAACCAGCATAGAATCCTCCCGCCCCTCCGTTTTAGTATGGGTTCTTTTTCTTAGTCTTTTACAGTAGTGGTCCTATGCAGTATTTCTCTTTTTGTGACTAATTTCACTCAACATAATGTCCTCAAGGTTCGTCCATGTTATGCGGTGGCTTGTAGCTTCCTTGTTATTCTTCAAGGTAGCATAGTATTCCATTGTGTTTATGTTCCACAGTTTGTTTATCCATTCTTCAGTTGATGGGCACTTAGGCTGTCTCCATCTTTTTTGCTGTTGTAAATAGTGCTGCAATAAACATTGGTGTGCTTGTATTTCTTGTGGGTAAATACCAAGTAAAGGAATTGCTGGATCATAAGGTATTTCTGTTTCCAACCTTCTGACAAAATGCCGTATTACTTTCCAGAGAGGCTGGACCATTTTGCAATACCACCAGCAATGCAGGAGCGTTCCAGTCTCTCCACATTCTTGCCAGCATTTATTGTCCTCTACTTTTTTGATCTTTGTTGTTATTGTTGGTGTAAGGTGATATCTCATTATTGTTTTGATTTGCATTTCTCTAATGGCTAGTGATTGTGAACATTTTTTTATATGTTAGTTGGCTGCCCAGATCTCCTCATTGGTGAAGTGTCTATTCATGTCCTGTGCCCATTTTTTAAGTGGGTTATTTGTTTTTTTCTTGTAGAGGTGTTGTAGTTTCCTATATATTTTATAAATGAGTCCTTTGTCTGATGCATCATTGCAAAAGATTTTTTCCTATTCTGTGGGTTCCCCTTTTACTCTTTTGATGCACATTAGTTTTTAATTTTTAGTATGTCCCAATCATCTATTTCGTCTACTTTGGTTTGTGTAGTTTTCAAATTGTTTGGTAGTCTGTGTATTCCCTGAATTAGAGCACTCACATTTGTCCGTACTATTTCATCATTGGCCTTCATAATTCTGGGATTCATGTTTAGGTCTTTAATCCATGCTCAGTTGGTTTTTCTGTAAGACGTGGGGTAAAGGTCTTGTTTCAGTCTTTTGCATATCGCTTTCCAGTTCTACCAGCACCATCTGTTGAAGAGATTATCACCTCCCCATTCGATATATTTTGTCACTTGGTCTAAAATCACTTCACTGTATGTGGATGGGTTAATTTCTGTATTCTCAATTCTGTCCCACTGATCAATGCATCTTTCCTTGTGCCAGGACCAGGATGTTTTGACCACTGTAGTTGTATAGTAGATTTTGAATGAGAGGCTTCCAACCTTGT